CCCTGCGTATGCTATTGAGGATTTATAGGGACATGTAAAAAAAATAATTCCAACAGCAATAAAAATGAACAGGAAACTCCCGGAAGTGATAAAATAATAATAGCATTCAATCCATCATACATAGATATCGCATTTTTTAAATGCCTGATTGTATGATAAGGTCTATTTAATACTTATATCTGCACTCAGGTAAAAACCCTGAAACGTATTATTATTTCTTGTCTTATTTTTATCAGTTTCTCCTTGTATTTATCCATTTTTTTATCTTACCTTTTATGTTATGATTTATATGATATATGCTTGACTCATTCCAGATAACTTAGTCCTGCTTGCTATTCTTAATTATCGCAGTCAGGTTTATTATTGACCCACTTGCTGTGACAAGTTGATCTTGGTGTATCTTTTTTGTTACTCCTTTTATATGTCCTCATTCACTTAGTATGTTTATATTTTGTTTATACTGAAAAATGTCAATTTATAAATAAAAAATTAAAAGAAAAAAAACCCTGAAAATTAAGAGCCTATTTGAAAGGTTGAAAATAAATCCGTGGCATTTTCATTGTTTTTTCATTCTCAAAGAAAACAAGTCTAAAGCTATTTGTAAAATGCTTACTTAAAAACGTAATTCAACAATCGTGTTCAGCTCACAGTGCCAACACACCAGGATAAGGACACTTAATAAATAAATTAGTTATTTTCAAATGATTCCAGTTAGCTAAATAACGATTCTTATCCTTGGGTAAAGGTTTGTAAATTAAACGTATAATGTTAAAAGCAGATTGTAAAGTTTATAAGGTTTCTGCATTGTCCAAGCTACTGGTACTCCTTTGAGAGAACATTGGTAGGCAACCTCGCCACCCTAGCTGTTGTTCAACTACAAGTTCCAGGATGCACAGGCATGACTCCCATACCATGATAAGATTTGTAGTTTGGAGTGCCAAGGTTGTCTACGCCTGGTTTATATTGACACTAGACCAGAGGTGGGCAAACTCCGGCCCTCCAGCTGTTGTGGAACTACAAATCCCATGAGGCATTGCAAGATTCACACAGCCACTGAAATGACTCCTTGAGGCAGAGGCATTGTAGAATGTGTAGTTTCATCACAGCTGGAGGGCTGAAGTTTGTCCACCTGTGCTCTAGACAACGGTGATCTTGTGGATGACTAGAACATCTGTGCTTCTTTGAATTGATTGTACAGCATCAATGTCATGTATAAGGTGTTAGAAATGAAAGGATCAATACACTCCCTATTTTGATATATAAAAAAAAGAAAGATCAATGGGTAGCATTAGATCTTCCCAAACACTGAAAGATCAAAGATCTTTGTTTCTAAGACCGCACTCAATTCAACATGCCTTGTCTCATACCGTCAATCAGTGTTGAACTTGACGATGTGCAGTCGGTGTAGGTCAGTTTATCTCAGAGACCCATTTATATGTGTACACATCTATGCAGAGGTCATACCGTATACACTGCCTGGCCCAAAAATAAATCACACATTCTAATATTTCATTGGACCGCCCTTAGCTTTCATAACACCACACATTCGCCATGGCATCATTTTGCTAAGCTTATGCAATGTCACAACATTTATTTCCATCCAGTCGCATTCATTTTTCAGCAACATCTTGTAGTGATGATGGGAGAGTCAGAGCACTGTGTAAAGTCTTCTCCAGCACATCCCAAAGACTCTCAATGGGGTTAAGATCTGGACTCTGTGGGGGCCAATCCATGTTGGACAATGAGATCTCATGCTTCCTGAACCACTGTTTCACAATCTGAGCCCAATGAATCATAGCATTGTCATCTTAGAATATGCCCAATGTGCCATCAAGGAAGAAAAAACAAATCCATTGATGGAAACACCTGGTCATTTAGTATATTCAGGTAGGCAGCTGACCTAATTTTTTGGGCACATAACATTGCTAAACCTAGACTAGCTTTCCAATGGAAGGCTCTGACCTATTTGCTTAGCTAAATCCAGGTGGTGACTTTTTTTGGGCCAGGCAGTGTATGTGTCATAAGTGTATGTGTCTTTGGCCAAGACCCTATGGGGTTGATTTACTAACCTTATAAACACGCCACGAACAAGTATACACCTCTGTAGTGTGTTCCCTCCCAGCATGATCTATTGGTGGAATCTAGACACCTTTGTAGTGTGTACACACCCAGCAGGTGTGTTGTGCAAAGCCCTGCATGAATTGCAAGGTGATGTTGTGTAAATTAGCTCTACGTTGTGTTGCTTGCGTTGATGAATGCAGGAATGTAAATGCATGAGCTAACCATTTTTGTCTAAACTGTGAAGCAGCATTATATATGCATCATGTGCATGATTTTTATTATTTTTTACCTAATGCTAAACTTTTAAAATCAGATAATTTTTAAAAAATTTCCTCTAAACAATCATTGTAAAAAGAATAAAGGATATGCTAAAAACTTTTACTGATGAAGTTACTTAACAAGTGAAATATTCTATTCCCTGGGGTACAGATGAGAACATGTCTATTAATTGATAGAGATTTTTTGACTGCGAGCAAAAACAGGCAGTATATGCATTCATAAACAAGGTTGAGCTATTTACAAGCTGAATTGTTATAAGCAAGGATGGAAAGATCGTCATAGATGAGGCAAGCACTTACAAACCAAGGCGGCCGGCTTCGTCAATCTGCAGACTATCCCGGTCTCTTGAGGGGATGATGGCTTCAACTCGCAGGCTGATGAAATTCTCAGAAAGCATGCCGAGAATACAACGAGCAGCCACATCGTGCCAACCGTGCAGCTCTCAAGTCACCGGAGGTCTAGTGAGCCGAGTGGCTCGTGTTCCCTAAAATCCACACGATGAGTACAGGAAGCTGCACAATCCCAACACATCCTGTGCTTCCTCCTTAGTGTAAAAAAGAGGCACAGTGCTTATCTTCTCACAATAGCTGGAAATGGACCCCAAAAAAGACGATAAATCAATATATTACTCTTCTGTCCTGCTAACTAAAGGTTAACATCCTAACAACAAAATGAAAATAAGATTCTGGGAACACAGCACTTTTAAGAATTGAGTTCTCTCCAGAGGTCACTTGGACCCATCTTTATACTCTATGACCCAATTCCTGCCTAACAAGATTAACGCTACACCAAGGTGCTGTGCAGTGTATCAGATCAGTCAAATAAGGCTACCCATGAATATATTTGAAGGCAACCTGTACTGAGAAAATACAAAGGCTGCCATTATGGAAGTCTTTTTGAAAATGTTAATTACCCGATTGTTATAGTAATACAAAACCTTTAATGGAAATCTAAGGTCAAAAATGAAAAATAAGTTTGTATTGCCTGCATTCTATCCCACTCCCAATAACCATATCCATCTAGAAGTTTGTAAACGTATTTAGGATGGCCATAGAATGTACTTACTCAATGCAGTGACCACTTCACTCAGCCCTGTGATTATGCACTTCCTGGTGTCACAACTATCACACAGCCTGCCTTCTGAACTACAACCCAATGGCTGAACAATGTTTTATAATTATTGCTTGCTGGAAGCAATGCATGGGATATGTAGCCTTGAAAAATCAAAATTGCATGTACATCAAGCAGCAGGGAAATAAATCCAAAGTACACTGGGAATCCAAGTGATGGGCAGACAGAAGGCAGTGCTCACTACATAAAAGGGATTTTTCAAGTAAGCTTTGCTTACATTATCAAAAACTATAGTACGTATTCCTATTACAATGCTGAAGTTATAATGCGATAGTATATGCTGAGAATTTAGAAGTTCTTTCAGATACTGACCTGGAGAAAGTATGCCAATAATTAGTTCTGACTTCTGAAAAAGCTACATCGGTTCAAAGAGCATCTGATATTCAATACTATGTATGTGCATAAGCATATGTGAAATGTAGGTAACTTTGCTTCTGAACCAGAGATTTAGTGCAACATAACACCTAACCCGGTATGCAATACTCTTGTATGGGAATACTGGACAGGACATCAGCTGTGTATTGGAAGTTAATGATTCTCCATTCCACTTTTATTTTTAAATTTGGATAATCTCTTAAAGTCTTTACATATTCCTCCATGAAGTATTCAGAATCTATTCTTAGTCACCTGTAGAGTACACAGCAGCTGGTGGTGTGAGTTCTTTATCTACATGTAAACTGTAGGTATGAAATTACAGCAAAATGATGAGGGTTGTCCTATTTCTGTATACAGGCCCGTGGGGCTCGGTGTATTTAGCTTTTTTGTCTGTGGGGCCATCTGTTCCAGTCGGCCTCATAAGCATACATACAGCTGTGATACAGCAGGTACGAGAATAGACTGGACTTCAGAGTTCACACTTTACCCTGTGTACTTTACAAGTTAATATAAACTTGACTGGGTCTCTTTAACCACTTTGCTACTGGAGCAAATTTTACATTTGTTGCACTCACGTTAAAACAGAATTTTTTGGCTAGAAAACGGCTTAAAGTGCCATTAAACCCTCAGATTTTTTTAACATAAACCAATACTGTAATGTGTGCCTTACTGTAATCCATGGTTGTTTCCCTTCTCTTTGTGCTCTTCCTTTTACATCTGTATCTGTTCTCATGCTGGGCAGAACTTCTGTTTTGCAGCAGACTCCCTTGTCTCTGAAATGGATACATGGTGTCTGTGTGTAGGTTTGCAACCTGAGCCAGCACTACAGGAAGAGGCACTCAGCTGCAAAGGGAAGTTCTTCCCCAGCATGAGAAGACATGAGGATTTAAAAGGAAGAGCAGCAAAGAGAAGGGAAACTACCATGGATTACAGTAAGGCACACATTACAGTATTGTTTCTGTTAAAAAATCTGTGGGTTTAATGTCACTTTAAAGTCCGCAAACACAATATAATACTTGATGATGCTCATTCCCAGTCACTGCAACCGCAGAAATCACAGGATGAAGGTAGAAGTGACAAAATCCTTGCCGTTTCTGGTTTCAGCAACTGCAGATCTGTGCTAAATTTCCTCCAGTCCACCCACTGTGCCAGGCCAGCACAAGGGGCAGTGGAGACGGGATTGTCAGCAGCAGCAGCAGTGGAGGGCACACGCTCTTCAGCACCATACATGGCATTGGGTGGCGGTAGAGCCAGGTATGTATGTAAAAATCCAGGTGTCGACTGGAAAAAACCCCCATAAAACCCAAGACCTTAGTTTCAACCACTTTAGTACTGGACATTTATGTACCTACATCGGTACTAAAGCGGTCAAAACTTTTTTAAACTTAACTAGATTCTAAAAGGTTTTGGGCCTTTAAAGAGCAATTCATCTCAAAAGTTACACCATTCTGCAAGCTATCAACCAAGAATTGCAACTGTATTAAAGATGGTAAATTGACTGAATTTATCTAAATTAAGTTATTTGAAATTTATGGATTGTTTTTTTTTTTCTGGAGCCTATGCTGTGTAACTTTCGCTCTCTCTGCTTCCTGCCGTACCAATAGACTTTAAATTGCCAAAGCAGGTTTGAGTCTTGTGGCTGTGAGAAAGTTTATTAGTATCAGCAGATTTATTTACCTGAGACTTGCTGCATGAAAGGCAGAATGGTGGGTGTTGTAGTATCACCAATAGAAGGGGTTCCGGCACCACCAGATTACAGAAAAGTAGGTAAGTTAATTGGTGCGGTCAGTTGTTCCAAAATGAACTACTGAGCAGGTTGGCTGTGCTACCTGTAAGATTGAATTTACTGGAGGGTACTTTTAAAAGAAGGCACACCCTTATCACAGTCCTTGGGCTTTCATCTACATATTAAAAGGGTTAATTTTGCCTTTAGTTTTTTTTGCAAAACTGGATGAACACATGCATGATACATGCTTGACCCCCTAGTGTGCTGGAGAAAGCAGAGACGAAAAAAGAATCTGTTCCTAAACTAAATGTATGAAAAACACCCAAATAAATTAAAGACAATACAAAGCTTCTCAGTTTATTGAAAGTTATTCTAAAGTGCAGGCTTTTGTGCGAGAAGGGTGAGCACAAGGAATATCTTGAAATGTAGAGTAGCATACTGCGTCTGATAATATATCTACTCCACAGCAGGTAGAGGTCAAAGCAAGACTGCCCAGTATGCTAGAGTTGTTACATGTGTAAACGTTAACACTACAATTAGTGTAAATTATCCTGACATTCCACAAGGAATCAATTGCCATGAGCGGAGAATGCCCACTCACATGTGCATACTGTACACGCATCTTTGGACTGGTAGAAAAGATTATTCTTTCTGAAGGAGACTTGTCTCAACAAAAAAAGTCTTCCTAGAAAACTACAGAGCGTCAGTTCTTTGAACTGGGCCTGTTCTTGCGGCCATGTTAGGGATGGAAGACCAATAGCATGCAGCTGCAAGTCCGTTAACTGTATCCAAAATGTCCTTCATGAACCGTCTTCATTGAACCATTGCTGGAGGGCCCTCAGGAATCAAAGAGGCAAAGAATGTTTTGAAGAAGAGCCAGGCTGTGGACACGAATGAGTGGGCCTCAAGAGTGGCGGCTGCAGCCTCATTCAGTGCTTCTTCCCCAGCTTGACCATTTTCCTGTTCCTGTTGAAAAGAAAGAAAATACAGTAAATGTGTTTCTGTTGTGACCCTAAAGTACCCATTACACTAGGGCTGCAACTAACCATTATTTTCATAATCGATTAGTTGGCAGATTATTTTTTCAATCAGATAAAAAAAATACAATCCTTAATTTAAAATAAAATACACAAATGGAGGGTTACAAAGTTTACTTCACAATAAAACTGCATGCACTTTTTTTGCAATCACACCACACTGGAACGCACAGCATTGCAGTACTGCAGGTTCTGGTGTGGGTGATAGGTGGGGACTTTATTTAACTTTTTTACTATTTTTATACTTTTTTTTTTTTACACTTTAGTGTTAGGGGTTTTGGGTAAATATAGGCGTCTAAACAGACCCTTTCAGAAAGACCTATTTCCCTTCTGAAAGAAAGATTGATGACACAAACCTCAATCTCTTTTTCTGCAGCCCCAGTACTCAATGAACAGAAAACACTCAATACAGAGGGGCATTCATAAAGCGAGGAGATTGTATCTGTCTACCATGTCCACAATCATGAATGAACAGGAAGTGACGTAGAGCACTTCCTGTTCATTCATCATTGGACACAGTATATGTGGCAAGCTTGAGAAACTTACCTGTAAGTTGTTGTTTTGATCTTGCTGATTTCCAGCAACCTGAGGCTGGGCAGGTGCAGCATCTTGAGGGTGCCTTTGCCTAAATGGAAACCATCCAGCGGTGTGCCTACAATAAAAATATATGTTTAGCCCAGGGCAATGTTTGGCTCTCACAATTACCATGCAATAAAGACATACATTTCCTGTCAAAGAGCCAAAACAAGTTTGTGTGAAAAGAGCCTGAATTCCAAAACGACAGCAGGAGTCTTTGAGGCACTTGTTGGGAACTACTGTACGGGTTCATGGTTAGCGCATACCACAATACAGATTAGGATAACACATAACCAACTCCGTACAGCAAAGTAAACCCTCCTTTTCTTCTTAAACTCAAGTTGCCTTACTTCCCATTTTCCTCAATCTGTAAACCACAAATGGTGAAAAACAACTCTGTAGAGTGTATGCAGGGCCATGGACTAGTACTATTAAATGTGGGCAATTTTATTTATGCCATAAATGGATGACCCATCATTCCCAACACCATCCCTTATTTGTGAATTAGAAATGTTGTGTGGCCCCAGCAAAGACCATAGCCTAACAAGTACGTTTTAAAGAGTCTAAATACAAAGTGGCAAAGGACCTCATATGTGAAAAAAATAGATCGCATAGACAAGGCAGGCCTAAAGAACTAAGGTATAAAGTAATACTTTAGTATGCCCTCATATGAGAACAGACAAAACCAAGACACTTACAGATACATCAGGATCATGGCACCAAGGACCATCATGAAACGGCTCAGGCTGGAGTAGAAATACAGTATGCTGAGGAAGATGGAAAAGCGAGCGGCAGTGTACACCCAGTCCAACCAGTCTCTGTTCACCTCATCTTCTTCTTCCACCAGTCCTCCTTGTGCATTCATACGCAAATTCTGATTGGCTACGGGATTTACAGGGGCTTGAACTTCAGGGATGGGAGCCTGGTTGGCGGCAGGAAAGGCATGGGGAAGCGGGTCTGGAGCAGCAGGTGGCACAACTGGAAGTTCTTGTCGTCGCTGAGAGGGAGCGGTGGTGGCAGCAGCTGCAGCATAGCTAGAGAAGGACATAAGAGTTATTTTTCATATATTCCTTGAACAATACGGTTTCTGAACTGTCATATATAACCCATTAGATATATTTTTTAGAAAAACCGGTTTCTGGCAAAAGTAATAGGTATTTGTAGGTGGGCTTGACAACAAAAAATTCTTGCAGTCTGTCTATTACTAATCTACTAAAAGGTTATTAATAATCAGACTACATTTATCAATCTACTGAGTCAAAAATGGCAGCTGTGCACAGGAAATGGTAGTATAAAAAAAGCATTATGTTAAGGCCCTAAGACCAGCTGAGTGCAGGAAGCCAAGGCTTATTTTTACTTTCAGCCCCAATCCAGCCACCTTACTACTGATACGGAATCTGGCTGGCTCCTCTTGCGTGCACATGTGCCATGACCTAGGTAGCCATACTCTTTGGCCTCCAGCGGTTGTTCCTAGTACAGCTTTCCACATACAAATGAACAGGACACGCACAAATGTGCGGAATAAAGAGGAACCAGACAGATCCAGATAAGCAGTAAGATTGCTTAATTGGGGGTGAAAGTACATACTGGGTGAGCTTCATTAAAGGTGTAGTTTAAGTATTTAACCACTTGCTGACCGGGTTTTTGCACCCCCTTCCTGTACAGGCCATTTTTCCGTGTTCAGGGCTGCGGTACTTTGACTGACGTTTATTCCGTCATGCAACGCTGTACTGAAATTAATTCTATACAAGTTTTTAGGGACATATAGAGCTTTCTTTTGGTGGTATTTAATCACCACTGCAGTTTTTATTTTTTACTATATAACAAAGTATTGAATATTTTTTTTTTTAAACGGTTTTCCCCTTTATGTTAGGAAACATTTATTATTACCCAGTTTTTTGGTAAAAATATAAAAGACGGGGTCACGTCTGGTAAATAGACACCAAACATGTCAAGCCTTAAAACCGCAAAAAACTACCATAGCCAAAATGGCCATTGGCGATGTTTTAGAAGATGTTACCGCTCATCAGTTTAGCGTCATCAGTGATTGATGGCCCTAAAATTATTGCTCTCACGTTCGCGGCGATATGTAATATGTGCGGCATAATTGGAGCAATCGTTTTTGCGTGTAGTCGCACCTAACGCATTTTTGCGCATCTATGCGGGGGTGGGGAACTTTAAAACATTTTTGTGGGGTTTTTTTTGTGTGTGTAAATTTTATTTATTTTGTGAGCACATTTTTTAACTTTTCTTTACACTTAACTTTTTTGTTATCATATAGGGGGGCTAAGAACTCCCCTATGTGATAACAAATTACAGTGACAGGTCCCATTTATGGACACATCGGGGGTCTCCAAGACCCCTGTCACCTTGGGACCCCCAGAGAAGCTGATGAAGCACAGATCTGCTTCATCAGCTTCTCTCCTGTTACTGTACCGGAGAGTGACAGAGGAATGTGGAAGTGATGTAATATACATCACTTCCCGCATTCAGAGAGCGGGGAGGAGAGGGAGATTGTGTACTGACTTGCATCATACAAGCGATCGGGTGTCTGTACAGCCGCAGGACCACTTGTATGTAAACGGCCATCGCTGGACGTTTAAAATCCTGGCGGTTTCCCGCTCGTGCGTGCCAGGGGCGAGCGGGCGAGGGCACGAAGGACATCTAAAGACGCCCACCCGCATCCAGGAGACTCCTGTCCGGCCGTCTTTCCACGTACGGCGGACGGGAGGTGGTTAAAGGATTATCTGGTCTACGCAGCAGTAGCTCAATATTGATACGTGTATGGTTAAGCCTGCAATTTAAGCTGTACAAGTGGTGCTAGAGCTAAATAGCAAGTTATGCCTGCTCATTTACAGACGCGTGGGTAAATCAGCCCTCATTGTAACAGCTGTGCCACCCATCCATTTATAGACAATGGTTTATTATTACGCAGTAATAGGAAACTTACTATTGCATGTAGTACTGCCTGGCGTACATCTGTTGCAACCACAGAATCTGCTGAGGGCTGTACATAGAGTAAGTGGAGAAGGCTTGATTCACTGCTGGAGGGCTGAAAAGGAATAATTCATCAGTACTCTACACAACATTTTATATAATGTAAATTCACTGCTGGACTATGCAAGCAATGCCAATTTTATGTGGGTCATGCTTACCTGGGTGTGTTTGCGTGTGCTGATGGAAGATTTGGTGATAAATTGCGCTGTCTAATGCCATCTGTCTGAGGATCGGCAGGCTGTGTTGTGGTACTTGGCTGTGGCTTGCATTCTGCAGCCTAGGGACAAGATATCCATGTTACTTATACGAATAACACTTTTATACAATTAATGGCAAACAGCCCCAAAATATTCCCATAAATATTTTATACTCTAAATTCAGCACAACAAGAATCATTGTGCAAAGTGCAATGAGCAGTACTCTGTACCAGCCAGTCAGATTTCACTGGCCCAGTGTCCATATATCTGGGTGTAAGATCAGTCAAGATGCAAGCCTTTATATGGCTTCCCACAATATCTGAGACCATGAAAATCCTACTGCAAGCTATTCGGCCTTAATGCAAGCACATACTGATTTGCCATAGAAAGCCATGGGGACTCCAGGCTGGCCTGCAAGACCACATCACTTGGCATAGTGCAAAGAGTAACTGAAGGTGAACTCCAACATATTGTCTAAATACAGAAGGCATGTATATTTTACTTGCAACTGTTCTGTATTTCTTCCAGATCTGTGCAGTGATCCAGGGTAAAACTTTGCCTCTGTGCAGGAGGTTCCTGTACTAAAGACCGGTCACTGCTGTACTCTCTCCTTGTGCAGTGTGACTGGTCTTGCCTCCACCCTCTCCTGTAGTTTTCTGCAGGCAGCCTGTAGTGCGTGGACCTGCTGGTTCACTACCACAGCTCTGCTCTCTGCACAGACTATGTGCATCACAGTAATGGTATTGAAGCTACTTTTTCAAAGTGATATCTGGGTTTGCAAAGGCGTTGGGGCACATGTCATGGTTTTATATCCTTTGAGGCTATTGAGAAATGTATTTAAATAAACCCTTATGTGCTTGAAGTCCCCTTTAAGTAAATGCGGGTCTATACGGTGCACAGGGAAATGCGGGTCTATACGGTGCACAGGGAAATGCGGGTCTATACGGACCTTCAAACCTTGCTGGACAAACTGTGCTAAAGGTGTAGTTTAAGTATTTAACCACTTGCTGACCGGGTTTTTGCACCCCCTTCCTGTACAGGCCATTTTTCCGTGTTCAGGGCTGCGGTACTTTGACTGACGTTTATTCCGTCATGCAACGCTGTACTGAAATTAATTCTATACAAGTTTTTAGGGACATATAGAGCTTTCTTTTGGTGGTATTTAATCACCACTGCAGTTTTTATTTTTTACTATATAACAAAGTATTGAATATTTTTTTTTTTAAACGGTTTTCCCCTTTATGTTAGGAAACATTTATTATTACCCAGTTTTTTGGTAAAAATATAAAAGACGGGGTCACGTCTGGTAAATAGACACCAAACATGTCAAGCCTTAAAACCGCAAAAAACTACCATAGCCAAAATGGCCATTGGCGATGTTTTAGAAGATGTTACCGCTCATCAGTTTAGCGTCATCAGTGATTGATGGCCCTAAAATTATTGCTCTCACGTTCGCGGCGATATGTAATATGTGCGGCATAATTGGAGCAATCGTTTTTGCGTGTAGTCGCACCTAACGCATTTTTGCGCATCTATGCGGGGGTGGGGAACTTTAAAACATTTTTGTGGGGTTTTTTTTGTGTGTGTAAATTTTATTTATTTTGTGAGCACATTTTTTAACTTTTCTTTACACTTAACTTTTTTGTTATCATATAGGGGGGCTAAGAACTCCCCTATGTGATAACAAATTACAGTGACAGGTCCCATTTATGGACACATCGGGGGTCTCCAAGACCCCTGTCACCTTGGGACCCCCAGAGAAGCTGATGAAGCACAGATCTGCTTCATCAGCTTCTCTCCTGTTACTGTACCGGAGAGTGACAGAGGAATGTGGAAGTGATGTAATATACATCACTTCCCGCATTCAGAGAGCGGGGAGGAGAGGGAGATTGTGTACTGACTTGCATCATACAAGCGATCGGGTGTCTGTACAGCCGCAGGACCACTTGTATGTAAACGGCCATCGCTGGACGTTTAAAATCCTGGCGGTTTCCCGCTCGTGCGTGCCAGGGGCGAGCGGGCGAGGGCACGAAGGACATCTAAAGACGCCCACCCGCATCCAGGAGACTCCTGTCCGGCCGTCTTTCCACGTACGGCGGACGGGAGGTGGTTAAAGGATTATCTGGTCTACGCAGCAGTAGCTCAATATTGATACGTGTATGGTTAAGCCTGCAATTTAAGCTGTACAAGTGGTGCTAGAGCTAAATAGCAAGTTATGCCTGCTCATTTACAGACGCGTGGGTAAATCAGCCCTCATTGTAACAGCTGTGCCACCCATCCATTTATAGACAATGGTTTATTATTACGCAGTAATAGGAAACTTACTATTGCATGTAGTACTGCCTGGCGTACATCTGTTGCAACCACAGAATCTGCTGAGGGCTGTACATAGAGTAAGTGGAGAAGGCTTGATTCACTGCTGGAGGGCTGAAAAGGAATAATTCATCAGTACTCTACACAACATTTTATATAATGTAAATTCACTGCTGGACTATGCAAGCAATGCCAATTTTATGTGGGTCATGCTTACCTGGGTGTGTTTGCGTGTGCTGATGGAAGATTTGGTGATAAATTGCGCTGTCTAATGCCATCTGTCTGAGGATCGGCAGGCTGTGTTGTGGTACTTGGCTGTGGCTTGCATTCTGCAGCCTAGGGACAAGATATCCATGTTACTTATACGAATAACACTTTTATACAATTAATGGCAAACAGCCCCAAAATATTCCCATAAATATTTTATACTCTAAATTCAGCACAACAAGAATCATTGTGCAAAGTGCAATGAGCAGTACTCTGTACCAGCCAGTCAGATTTCACTGGCCCAGTGTCCATATATCTGGGTGTAAGATCAGTCAAGATGCAAGCCTTTATATGGCTTCCCACAATATCTGAGACCATGAAAATCCTACTGCAAGCTATTCGGCCTTAATGCAAGCACATACTGATTTGCCATAGAAAGCCATGGGGACTCCAGGCTGGCCTGCAAGACCACATCACTTGGCATAGTGCAAAGAGTAACTGAAGGTGAACTCCAACATATTGTCTAAATACAGAAGGCATGTATATTTTACTTGCAACTGTTCTGTATTTCTTCCAGATCTGTGCAGTGATCCAGGGTAAAACTTTGCCTCTGTGCAGGAGGTTCCTGTACTAAAGACCGGTCACTGCTGTACTCTCTCCTTGTGCAGTGTGACTGGTCTTGCCTCCACCCTCTCCTGTAGTTTTCTGCAGGCAGCCTGTAGTGCGTGGACCTGCTGGTTCACTACCACAGCTCTGCTCTCTGCACAGACTATGTGCATCACAGTAATGGTATTGAAGCTACTTTTTCAAAGTGATATCTGGGTTTGCAAAGGCGTTGGGGCACATGTCATGGTTTTATATCCTTTGAGGCTATTGAGAAATGTATTTAAATAAACCCTTATGTGCTTGAAGTCCCCTTTAAGTAAATGCGGGTCTATACGGTGCACAGGGAAATGCGGGTCTATACGGTGCACAGGGAAATGCGGGTCTATACGGTGCACAGGGAAATGCGGGTCTATACGGTGCACAGGGAAATGCGGGTCTATACGGTGCACAGGGAAATGCTAGAACAGCTTGACCTTCAAACCTTGCTGGACAAACTGTGCAGTAGATAAAACAAATCATTAACGTTATAAACCTAAGTGACTTGAACTGAAGTGGTTCAGAAAAACATACCTGGCTGGGCAGAGAGCTCCTCATAGAGAATACAAGGTGCAACACGTGTCTGTTCTCCTGGAATGCAAAAATCATGTTTGCATTAGTGTATACGTCAACAGCAGCAATCATTATCGCAGAAAGGCTGTTTATTTAATGATTAACAATTAGCCGTGTTGGAACATTTACCTTGGAAAGGACCTCGTTGAGTTTCAGATGGTCGGGGAGCAGTTTTCCTGAGTAGATCAGTCTCTGGTCTTGTTCCATCTGCACAACAAAAAGCATGAGATCAGTGTAGTTCCAGAAGGGTTTCATACTGAGGAATGTGCAACTGTGAGGCCTGGCTGAGGGGAACAACATCTGTTCATAACACAGCTGGATGACTGAAAGCCGCATGTTAACCAGCTCATCGCCAACCTGATAAACTGCAATCAGACGCCTTTTATTTATATTATGCAAGGGCACCATGCCTTGAAAACATTGTACTTGAGCGGAGAGATCACTGACAAAGCACAGCACCAGCCACAGCGTTGTTAAGGATTAGAGCCCGTTTCGTTTTTATTCATATCTAGGTCCCTATTGGGGAGATTTCCCAGCACTGCTTGTCAGGACAGGAAGAGAAATGTCTTTATCAGTCCTAACAATGTTCTTAATACTGTCTGGTCCTCACTCAATGCCCCGACAGGAAGTGATGGGACACAAAACAAACAAAAAGCAAATTTTTAGTAGTGTGGGATAGGGTTAGGCTGGCCATACACTAAGCCCCCTTCTAATCTGTGCATGGATCGGATACCCTGCTGACTGGAATAGAACGGAACAGATATCACTCTTGTGACATCCATGTCCATTCTGTTTTTTCCTCCATCCCAAGATGGAGGAAAAAACAGAACTAACCAGACTCAGACTTAGGTCTATGGGGAATTGGTAAGCGGACATGTGTCCATTTACCATTGATCTGTCACCATCACATCTGTCAGTCAGGATCGGATGTAAATGTCCGCATGTCTGTTTAGATTTGGCTGCCCTTAGAGTAACACTGGGCTTCCAATCACAGTGGCTTAGTGGTTGGCACGCCTGCCCGGCAGCACTGGAGATCCCCAGTACAAATCCCAGTCAGGACACTCTCTGCAGCAGTTTGCATGTTCTCCGTGTCTGCATGCATTTCCTCCAGGAACTCCGGTTTCCTCCCACACTCCAAAGACATGCTGGAAGGTTAATTGGCTCCTCTCTAAATTGGCCCTCGTATGTTTGCATGCGAGATAGGGACCTTAGATTTTAAGCTCCTTGAGGGCAGGTACTGATGTAAAATGCTGCATAAATTGTCGACACTATATCAATACCTGTAATAATCTGCCTGAAAAACTGACAGGCAAACATGCGCAGACCGCCCATGTAAAAGGGGCCTTAGACTTCTCTCATTTAGCCCAGTGGGATGAGCTAGAGAAATCTATAGATTCCCTAAAAAATGTGGATCGGGGAATCTCCCCTTGCTGCCCATTGTATTCTGACAGCCAGTGGCCCCGCAGCAGTCAGCGTACCTGAATAGTGATTGAAGCAGCCGCTTTCATTTTCACAATGGAAGTTTATTGACCTGGGTGTTGCCAGCAGAGCCTCCCACTGTTAGAATTTCATATGATTCACAGGAATCGCCCTAAATTCTATAAACAGGTGACCCTGTTGGCAACACCCGCCTCAAGAAACTTCAGCTGAAAAAGCCTAAAGCTGGCCATACACCTATAGATTATCTGCAGATTTTCTATGGTCAGAAGGAAAAAGTGCAACAGATTCCTCCATCTACGCTAAACTATGTGAGTGGAGGAATCTCCCACTGGGCCAAGCTTCAGTGTCTTGCTAGTCGGCCCCGCTGGCTGCCAAAATACCTGAACAATCTGATTGGATGCAGGCATTGTTTAGGTGTTTTGAGAGTCAGCGGGGCGGACTAGCAAGATACTGAAGCTTGGCCAACCGGGAGATTCCTCCATCCGCACAGTTTAGCGTAGATGGAGGAATCTGTTGCACTTTTTCCATCTGACCATAGAAAATCTGCAGATCATCTATAGGTGTATGGCCAGCTTTATGACCTCTAACAATGTTATTGCTGCCTGCGCGTTCTTATCCTGTTGACGCACAACCCCTCCATTCCTTGTACGGAGGTCACAAGAGCAGGAAGTGAGGGAAAATCCTCCCAATGACAGTCAAGCAACTAGTATTTTCATCCATGTCAGCCTCCTCCCTCTTATGACAAGTTACTAAATAATTACCTCTTTTCCTCCCACTTTTCCCTGTTTTACGGATACATTTTTCTCCAGTTGGTATAACTTCAAAATGTAAATTCTTCAAAGTAATGTGAACAAAGAAACAAACCAAAAAAAATTGGCATTAGTATATGGAAGGTAGGGCTGCAGCTAACGATTATTTTCATAATCGATTAGTTGCCCGATTATTTTCTCAATCTATTGGTTGTTTTTAAAAAAAATAATTCTCTCTCCCCCCTTCCCCAACTAATCGATGATGAGAATCGTTGCCAACTATTCTCATTATCGATTATAATTGATTTAATCCATTAGTTTTTGCAGCCCTAATGACAGAATGTACAGAATGGGAACACACGTTTGCATAATAACATATGTTTGTATTAGGGACATAAAACATGTTTGCATAAACGTCATGCCCCTGGGTATGTTTTATAAGTGCTGCTACTATTATTTCGTTTAGCATTAGAAAAACACTTGAACCAAGACTGTCTATGGGGAACGTACAAATACCGGAACGGCACTGAAGCATATTTATCATTATGTTCTCGGGAACAATCGTCTCTATAAACAATCTGCACTGCGATCGCTCATGTACAGGGAGTTATTTGCATACCTCAGCTTCCTGCACACGTGTATTATCCTCATCGGTGGAAATACTGGTTCTGAACAGGATGCAGCTGGCCTCAGTACATACCGCAGTAAGAAAATGTATGTAAAGAGATTTTCCACTTGGTGTAAAAACTTTCAGGCTCCGGAACAATGCACAATAGTGTAAGTCTCCTTTCTAAAGCTGGTCACACAATAATAGAGTCCTTTCAGAGGCTGGACGCAAGAAATCTAACAGATTCCTCTATCTACACTAGGGGCAGGCAAACTCCAGACCTCCAGCTGTGGCGAGACTACAATTCCCATCATGCATCTGCCTCTGGGAGATATGCCTGTGGCTGTCAGTCTTGCAATGCCTCATGGGATTTGTAGTTCCACAGCAGCTGGAGGGCCAGAGTTTGCCTAGTCCTGACCTAAGCCACAGGGCCAGAGTTTGCCTAGTCCTGAGCTAAGCCACAGGGCCAGAGTTTGCCTAGTCCTGAGCTAAGCCACAGCGGAAGTCTCCACTCAGAATGAAACTACATCATTGAGGGGCACAGTAAGTGGGCTTTATTTGGCTAAAAAATGTAAATGCAAGCATTTGTGGAGTCTGTAGAGAAAGTGAGGACACCGAGGGCCATCCACAACACTAAGTGTTGAAGAGGTCAGCGCCAACTGCAGGGGAGCAAAAGAATAAAAGTCCCCTTTCTTGGTACCTTAGACATAAGCTACTGGCATTTACCCCTTGCAGTACAGGGGTGAGCTCTACTGCAAGGTTAGCTCTTTCAGTTCCCCAGAGTTCAGAATATTTATTGCAAGCCAATGTTAGTACAAGGCCTTATGAAAAGACTACTTCATGGCAATAATTTAAACATAGGTGCCTTCAAATGATCTATTCAGGCTCTCAGTATGCTAGTCGTTGCAGCATATACGATTTAGGCTAAATGTTTATACCAGGGGTAGCCAAACTCCGGCCCTCCAGCTGTGGTCAAACTACAAATCCTGTGATGCATCTCTCTCTAGGAGTCATGTCTGAGAATCTTGCAATGCCTCATGGGATTTGTAGTTCCACCGCAGCCTGAGGGCCAGAGTTTGGCTACCCGTTTTATACATAGCTATGAGCCATATACCTCTATAAAACCAAAAGTCTCAGAACTTTCTGCCATCCTCCACCAGGACATGCTAGGAACTGTAGTTGTGCAGGGCTGCAAGTTGTGCTGCCCAACGAAGAGGACGTCTCATTGAGAATTATAGAGAGAAGTGTCTGTCATGGGGAAATGATGCAATTTTATTCCCACCCTGCTGACTGTTGTATGTGGTACGTGTGTGGTGGATGATTCTTCCCCTTGGCAAAAGGAATGATCAGCTTACTGGTTGCAGAGATAAATGAGTTGAAACCTGCTTTGTGTGAGGAACGCTTACGGCAACCGGATCTGCTGGTGACGGCAATCAAACGAGACATTCCCTGCCCCCTCCTGGACCTGTCACAACACACAAGTCCGCCCGCTAAAGCAGTGTGTCTTAGTGGGTGGGCTAGTGTGAACGCAGCCTTACAGTGACACTAAAGTCAGGAGTTAAATCTTAAAAATACATTCAAGTCCCCTATTACCAAAAATGTACCATATTTGTATATCACTCAGCTGTAGCTCCTCAAATCATCTCTGAATTGGTGCTGACACTGTCCTTCCTTCTGGAGGGTGGCTACATTTGTTCCCCATGGTCCCTGTGTGTGTTGTAAAGTAGCCACCGCTACAAGCAGTCCCACAACCTACAGGTTGTGGGACTGCTAATACAGTTTGCATAAAGCTTGTGTACACCGAGTATTTTGCTTTCAAACGCCAATCAAAAGTTGCCTTCAAAGTCCCGCCCCACACACCCACAAATCTGCTGACAGGTCCACTTTGACTTGTGGTATGGGCCACCTACAGAGCTCAGAGAACGAGAAAATGTGATACATAAACTGCAATCAGCAGCTGCATATTCTCAGGAAAGCCGGGAACTACTCCCAGAATTGTGCGATTTGCATTGCCGTGCTTTGCAGAGCTACAACAGATGCACACAAAGAAAAAAAATCACACTAGTGTGAATGAGGGCATTGTATCCGGTCTTTTTATTACCATCCCCACGGCTGTTCTACTATTACCTAGAAAAACATTCAGCAAACATTCACATTCTCTTTAAAAAAAACACAAGGCAACTGAAATTACAAACAATAGACACAGATGAACAATGCGCCATTTTGAAAAAGAGGAAATCAAACGAAATCAAACAATCAAAATCAAATGTTAACGTTTTCACAGGCCAGCAGTGAAGGCTGTGACTGCACCCGCACTGGTCATTAAAGTCAAAAGGTTTTAAGGTATTTCAAGTGCTGATGAAGTGAAGGGTGACTCCTTTCCCTTGCAGGGTCCCTTGTGTGTGTTTCCACAAACACACAGTCACAGCAGGATAAAGCTGGCTATACACTGATCTGTTTTTTTTGTTCAACCCGCAGGCTGAACGAAAAAAATAGACCCGATTCCCCCATCAACACTAACGGCGTGTCAATAGAGAAATCCCCGTTTACATTGGCTGCTGGCTCAGATCAATCGAAGATTTTCCGACCGGCTCCGTCAATCAGCTGATTGAAAGGGTGCCGACAGCCCCATACACTGTGCAAATTTTTTCCTGTTCCTCAAAAACTGGCCGAAATTTGAACAGTGTATGGGCAGTGTAATTTCCCTGCCTATCTCGTACTCACCCAAATGCTCCGAGACCGATACCTTCCTCGATACAGGAACTTCTGATCAGAGGAAGATTTCCTCTGACCAGCAGTGCCGTAGGGGAACATGGAGACGGCCTCCTGGGCAATCAGGAAGCCGGGCGGCAAGTAATGACAAGCCTTCCTGATTGGCCTGATTCTCCTTGCTGAGTGGCCAATCAGGAAGCCGGGTCATTACTTACCGCCCAGCTTCCTGATTGGCCGGGAAGCCAGCTCAATGCTGATTGCAATTGGCCAGGAAACCGGCTTCCCAGCCAATCAACATGGAGCCAGCTTCCCGGGCAATCAGGAAGCCGGGTGGCATGTCATTACCCACCGCCGGGCATCCTGATTGCCCGGGAAGCCAGCCCTATATCAGTGGAAGCACGGGTATCGGTACTCGGTATCGGCAAGTACCGAAAGCAAAATATCAGTACTTGATACAGAAAAACTGGTATCGGTGCATCCCTAGTATATTTGTTGGATCTGAAATTAATTGAAAAAAAGGTTGAATGTTTAATACTATTTTAAGGACTCATTCACACGGGGTGTGTTGCCCCATACAGTGTGAAGGGCTGATTTATTTTATTTTTTTAATGAATCCAGAGCTGTGGGAGAAAGCGTGCCGTCAGCTTATGCTAGTCTATGGAAACGCAGGAGCTGTGCGCCCGCACATGCTGTTACTCACAGCTTCAAGTTCTGACAGCTCTACACACATGGTATACGGATCTGGATGCATCATGTCTGTGTCCGAGGCTGTACACCATCTGCGTGCGGCTGTCAAAACTGCAGGAAGCAGCACGAGTGTTCCCAGTTCCTTTGTCTACATTGAGTTGCATGCGCTGACTGCACAATTCTTCCTGCAGCTCCGGGCACATCAAAAACCGGTCCTTCGTGCTGCACATAGCAACACACCCCATGTGAATGAGGCCTAAAATCCCTTCAGACCTGCATTCCATACAGATTTAGAATCTGACTTAAAATAGAATCGGCTGGTGACATAGTAGTTGTGATGCGGCTCCGATTGGCAGGGGAATTACATTAGACGCTCCCTGTTCAGGAACAGATAATTGGTGGTTAGGCAAGCGATGGAAGCGGGGTAATTAAAGCTATGAGAATGAGCTGAACCTAATTAACAGATGTATTTATCAGACTGGGATAACCTGACGACGAACCAACCGTCGCAATCGCTGCCAATCCTAGCGGATTCACGGTCTAGTTTCGGTAAATGACACAACGCTGACAGTTCACGATCTGGGTCAGTTATTAAACTTACAAGGACCAGTCACTGGCGACCTGGCTCCTGGGATTCGTCCAGCCTGCAGCCTACGACTCTGTTCACACCTAGGCATATCGACAAACGCACGTTTCCGAGGGCTACTTAGCTGTATCCCAATGGAAACGCGCAACAAAAAACGCCGCAAAGAAGCTCATGTACCTTTTCTGGCGTAGGCCGTTTTGTAGCGCGTTCAGACGGGCTGAAATAAGGCAAGGTGTGAACCATACCCATAGAAAACAATGGGCTTTTCATGTTTGAGCGTTTTGTAGAGCGTTCGTAGAGCGTTGAACGCGCTACAAAACGTACAGGTGTGAACCATGCCTAAGGGCTCATACACACGAGCATTAAAAACGCTGTGTACAGATGTGCTCTGCGCTTATGTCTGTGCGCATCTGTACGCAGCACATGCACATACATGGCCTCATACACACAGCTGCGTATAGGGTTGTGTTTTGGTATTGCGTACAGATGCGCACAAAAAAAAAGGAACAGGGCTGCGTTTGTAGCCGTCAGGCTAGGTTCACACCTAGGCGATTTGTCACGCGGTGTCGCGCAAAACATTCACACTGAAGTCAATGGAGTCTGTTCACACCTTTGCGGTTTGTCGCGTGGACGATATTGGCTGTCGCACGAAAAGGTGCAGGAGTGATTTTCGGGCGGTTGTCACGTGGTTTGGGTCCCATAGACATCTCTATGCACTGAAAACCGTGAGATAACTGCATGGTTTTCAACAGTCGCGTGATCGAAATCGCGCAAAAACAACTCACACCTATTCAATCTGAATAGGTGTGAACCTAGCCTAAATCGTACGTATTTCATGCATGTGCGCACATACACACAGAATATATTTCAGCGCAAAAAATTGTACATTGAAGAAAGGATATGGGCCAGATGCTCCTATATAAGCACACTTATGCATGCCAAAACGCAGCTACAAAGATGCGCATTTTACATGTTTCACCACCTGCGTTCCTTCTATGTCCGTGTGAATGAGGCCCAAGAAATCTAACACATTCCTCCATCCACTCTAAACCGTGCAGACGGATGAATGCCACCACTGGGCTATTGTGTTCTGACAGCCGGTGCCCGCCACTATCAGAATACTTGACGGGCGCAGCATCTGATTGGTTGCTGTTCAGCCAATTTTCCTGCCAGGCTCCTTTGAGATATGGTGTCAAATTTTGACCGATTCATTTGGACGAATCGTGAGCAGTGTATGAACAGCTTATGGTAGATCTCCTGCGCCGTATCCCACATCACAGAATACCATAAAGCAAAGGGGGGTGGGCTTGTTTACAAAAACTGGAGCCGTTGCCCCTAGTGACCAATCAGGTTCTCTCTTCAGTTTGTTCAGTAAAGCTTTGAAAATAAAAGAGAAGCTGATTGGTTGCCATGGGCAACTGCTCCATATTCTGCCGGGAATTCTTCAAGTTCTGTGGGGTTACCTATGAGAGATTTACACTTGCCCCCCCCCCCTTATTGGGTTTTCTAGCGTGTCAGAAGCCGTAGATCCATGGGCACCATACTCATCACAATCTGACCGCACAATTAACATTGGATTTACCATAACAAAGACCTGAACCACCCAATCAGACAGGCCTTCGCTCTGCATAGGAGAGCTAAAGTACAATCAGATTGTAAGGTGTGTGGTACGCTTATTCTAGACATAAACCTTTAGATCTCTCTCATCCGGCCCCTGTGGGGTGAACGAGAGCAATCAGCTGATTCTGAGTTCATTAGTTGACAGGGAAGATTCCTCCACTCACAATGCTTAGCAAGGATAGAGGAATGTCCCCTGCCGCCAACTTGAATTCCGACATCTGAACCTGTCAGAATCCCCAAACGGTGACTACCGATGATTGGTTGCAGCAGCTGTTCAATCGGCAAGATGTTTTAATGGAAGTTTGTGGAGCCAGGCCCCCCACAGTTTGCATTTCATCTGATGGAGCAGGGATTGCCTCTTGGTGCAGGTTGGAGGTGAAAGGTCCCGTCATCTGCCGGAATCCAGGCTGTAAACACAGGAGGTCTTCCAGCTCCTAAGTAGCCATAACACAGAGGCCCGTCTGTCATGTGACACGTAGTCACACTTTGGAGCTGGAAGGCAGACTGCTGATGGCATGAACCCCTCACACTTGACCTGGGTCATCCTCAGGCAGTGTGAAGGTAAATGTTTACCAGGTCAGTCTGCACATTCAGAACTGATCGCTCATAGTTTTGTACAACCAGAACGGCGACAGGTTCCCTTCGGCCCTCTCAGTGTGATCAGTGCTTGCCATGGCTCGCTGAGACTCGTAGTTCTCCAGAAGTCTCAGACATTCTGTAGTGTGATGATGCAATATGATCCTCTCCCTCCCACACAAGTATGTGCTCCTCCTCCCCCCTATAGTTCCCGGGACATCGCCCTCTCCTTACCGGATGCCCGGGCAGCTCCCGCCTCAGCTGGCTCTTCAGCTCCAGCACCGTATAGCCGCGGAGCGCCTTCACCTCCCTCTCCTCCTGCTTCAGGCTGGGGCTGCGGATAACCAAAGTCACTTCTCCGTCCGCCATGTTTGTATATCCCGGACACACCACTTCCGTTCAGACAATCACCTCCGCCTAGTTCTGCGTGCTGACTCTACGCGCGGCCGACGCTCTCCGCTATATATAGTCAGCTCGTATTACCAAAACACCTTGTGGCTAGCTGCTATTGGCTGAGCCGCTCGTTCCTGCCCACACGTGTACCAATCGGGGATGGGTGACTTGACAGTAGGCGGGGCGAGTCTGATGCAATTCTCTGAGAGAAGAATGTTCCGAGCGACGGGCTCGCTGAAGGACGCGCATGCGCAGTGCTGGTGGTCGGCACTAGCGGGTCTGTCATCTGTGTGAGGGAGTCATAGACAAGCTGCATGGAGGAGGATTCTCTATACGAAGCATACACTTCAGAAAGAAAAGGAAGCCGAGATAAGAGAATAGATATTATCAAGAGAAAAGTCTCTCTAAAGTTGCCCATACACTGCACGATTATCGTACGATAATCGTATGCGATCGGGTTTTCGTACGATAATCGAGCAGTGTGAACGGAGACGTGCGACCGTTTCTACTGTACGGTCGCACGTCTTCTGTCGAACCAGCATGTTCGAAAACCAGCCGGGAATCGTACGATTCTCGGCTGGTTAGAACGGTGCTCGGAAGATAAATGCTGAACGGGCCGGTGTGCGCACGCGCACACTGCCCGTTCAGCATTGCGGTCATCGGAAGCCCGCCCCTCAGGAGGGCGGGCTTGCGATGATCGAGAGTGCGATCTGCCTGTCCAAGATAGGCAGATCGTACGTTTTTTTAATCCCTTTACAACCATCGCAAGACTAAAGTCTTGCGATGGTTGTAGAGTGTATGGCCACCTTAAAGTGCAGGAAATCGTTGCTTAGATTGTCATCAAAGCAAGTGTCCCCAGTAGAAGATTTCTCCATTCCAGGTCTAGTGACCAATCAACATTTTGGATTTTCCTTCACTTTCATTGGTCACCAGAGAGGGACAAACATCCTAGCAGGGGTGTGGTCATTCAAGTAGAACTAAGCAAGCAAAAAAAAAAAAGCATTTCCGGTGTGAAGCCAACCCTAAACATCTCAGAATAATCTGTTTAGAAAATCAGCACTTGGAAGAACACGCCGGGGTGTGAACTCATAAGCCATACACATGAGGCTTATGTAATCGAAGTCCCAAGCAATCCAACGTAAATTGGTGGTTTCCATCAACCACAAGGAGATTGGTTTGAAACTGCACTGATCGAACTCGGCCCAGATATCTGAACGGTTTGGTGAAACGTCAGAAGTTTTCTTCTGGTTTCAGTCAGCTTTTCAATAACCTGTATTGAAGTTGTCAATGTATAGCCCAGCCCGATCAATAGAAGTCAGGTGATCGTTTGAACTCATGGGTGGCAGATTGCTTGTATTCAGGCAACCATTCTCGATTCTTGGTTGATGGAAAGTGGATAAAGTTGCCTGAAAGTTTCCAGGTGTATAGGCAGCTTCAAGGTGCCCGATGATAATCGTACGATAATCGCAGGAAATCCCGCGATCGTACGATTATCGTAAGGTGTGTGGAAGCCGTGCGACCTCTACTAGTGTAAGGTCGCACGACTTTTATCTTAGGAACATCTTAGGAGCATGTTCGTAAGATAAAAGCCGGACGGGACGGTGTGCGCAAGCGCACACTGCCCGTTCGGCATTGCGGTCATCGGAAGTACGATCTGCCTGTCCAAGATAGGCAGATCGTACGTTTTTTAAATTACCTTGCAACCATCGCAAGACAAAAGTCTTGCGATGGTTGTAAGATGTGTGCCCAGCCTTAGCCATCAAGTCAGGTGATTTGTCTATTCTTGCTGAGCTGCATCTACTTCACATAGATATGAATGAGGTTCAGTCTCCCCTTATACAAGTGTTTTTGGAAGAACAGTACTCTCTCCAGACCGGTGTAAGGCCCCATTCACATGGGGAGTTCTGGGATTCCTGCGGCAGGAACCTACTGCTTCTTGCGGCAGAAATCCCAGGTGTCCCCATTCAGTAACGCCTGCTGTACACATTGACATTAATGATCACGTGACATTAATGATCATCCGTCGGCGGCATTCTGCAAGTAATCATATAGGATGCGATTACATGTGGTTTGGAATAGATGATTGCTGCTGGACGCAGGGTAGATGCATCCTGCGACTGGGATCTATCCAAGACTGCATGTAATATCATACAGTATATCAAATCCATAGTTCCTTGCTGCAGGAATTCCAGATCACCCTGTGTGAACGAATCCTAAGGCCTCATACAGCGTAGAGTCAGGCCGTACAGATCCATGTGGCATGCACGGCTGCATCGGGCCGTTCCCGGGAGGGACAGGTTCTGCGTGTGATTGCACGCAGCAGCCTGTTCTTCTCTATGGGAGGATGTGGCCATACGCACATCTGTTCTGCACATCCGTGCAGGTCCGTATTAAATCGGACGCAGGCAGGATGGATCCTGTCTGCGTCCGAGCACAGCCACAAGGACCCGCATGGGTGCAGTTCAGATGTGAGTATGACAGCCAACAGGTGTGTAGTTTGGATGTGCGTATGACAGTGTGCGCCCGCGTCCTCCCATAGGGAAGAACAGGCTGCTGCGTGCAATCACACGCAGCAACTGTCCTTCCCGGGAACAGCCCGATATGGCTGTACACGCCGCATTGATCTGTACGACCCGACTCTACGATGTGTGAATGAAGTCTAGCAGAGGCAGAGCAATCCTCATGCCTTCCTTTGCTAAACTAATTTTTAAAGGAAAGAAGGTACATACTATATACTGTTTTATTTTGACTTCACAAATAGGTTAGGGAACGTGCTGCATTGATGTTTGCAATAACAGGAGCCTGCAGAAAGTTTATTTATCGAATAGTGTTGTAGTGTTACCACATGGAGACACACACATAAGATATTGCATCAAATTGGTGCTTGGTTGCACAGCCAGGTGCTGATGACAGCATTGTAACACATTGCAGAGCAATCGTCCCTAGAGTCCTCCCAGAGCACACACACAGTGAAACTAGCTGCACAGCGGTTGCCCTTCACAGATCAGCAGCCGTTCCAAGTACACATAATATTTACAGTACACACACACGTCACATGTGCAAGGTGCGGGCAGTTACAACCGCAGGAAAAAAAAGTACAGAAATGTTAGTGAGCTCGAATATGATTAAAATTCAATGAATTTAAGCTGAGCTGCTAGAAATACCTAATATAACCAGTTATAGTGAACCTGTCACAAACTCAAGCATAAGATGAACAACAATAAAAAAACACATAAGCAAAGGTGACCTTCAGTAAAAGCCACATGTCCAAATAATCAGTAGATCCAGAGATATGGGCAACTGAAGCTAAGTTTAGATCTCAACTATTCCTGTAGAGATCTAGCTTTACCCCCTGGGCATCCCTAATAGTCAAAAAGGCTGGTTATTGAACTCCAGGGAAAGGAAAAAAAATCTACCCTTGCAGTAGTGCTCCCCTCACACTGCAAGAGTTAAAGGAGAACTATGGGGTAAGTGTTTTACCCCATAGTTCTCCTAAGCGTCACGGGAGGACATAAACTAGCGTCCTCCCGTGACTCAAAGCTCAGTATATCACGAGCTACAACTCGCGATATACTGAGATCGCCGCAGCCGGGACAGATCCCAACATTACTGTCAAGATCCACCCAGCTGCATGATTGACAGCTGGCTCTGCCTATCTAGAGGCAGAGCCAGCTGTACTCGCCCCCTCCCGTCCGTTCCGCCAGTCAGCGCTGGAAGATCAGAGCGGGGAGGGGGGGAAATCCCTGCAGGGAGCCGTGAGTTACAGTCACGGCTCCCTGCAGGGAGATGATCGAGAAGTGAGCGAACGACGGTATGTGTTCGCTCACTTCCCGATCTATTGAGCCGACGTGTGACAGTTTCATTGTCACACGTCGGCTCAAACTATGAGGTTGAGCGAAAACCACTCCCCACAATTCAGGTTTGAGTCTTGTCCTTGTAGGGAAAATGTTGTTTGTCCCACCCTTCTGGAGGGATCAGGTTGATCAGCTTCATGGTCTATGGTTCAGTGTTCCTGTACCATGTCGAGGTAATCTTCTCTGGTTATGTGTCCATTCTACTTGGTCTTCAGACAATAGGTATGGCTCCCCATTTTTCTCCTCCTAGTCTTGTTATCTTGCTCAGCTCCATTGAGAAGTAGATTCCGGTGTTGGTCCTTAAGGTTCACACCTAGGTGATTGAGCTTTTCATGCGGTTGTCACGCCTTTTTGTTTGCGAGATTTTGCTTTGAAAACTGTACGGTTGTCAATGCATGGAGCTGTCTATGGGATCCAAACCGGGCGACAATCACCCGAAAAAAAACCTCCTACAACTTCTGGCCAGGTTCACACCTGCGCATTCCGTGACCGCGCGGCAATCGTGCACGATACCGTGCAGATTGTCGTGCAGTCACGGAGTCGCCCACCAACAACGATATTTTCTAATGGCACCACATTTGCACCGGGCAGATTGGGCGGTTTCCCGCGGCTAAAACAGCGCAATTGCTGCGCGGATGTAACACCATTGAAATAAATGGGGCCCCAATGATAACAAAATCTTAGTATCTTTCTTGTCCATTGAGGGACACCGGACGTCATTAACTCTCAGGATGTCTAAAAGCAATCCAACTGAGGAGTGGTCAACACCAAAGAAACCACTAACAGGCCCAATGTGAACAAGAACTAGGGACTGCCTGCAGCTCAAGATCCACCTAAGGGTAAGTTCACACCTAGGCAATTCATCACGTGGACTTAGCTGCGCGATATCGTACAAAACAGAGATCTGCTTTCATGTTTATTGAAGCTGTTCACACCTTTGCGATTTGTCGCCCGGTAGAAATCGCATGTCGTGCAAAAGGGCTGGTTCACACCTGCGCGATCCGGCACACGCGTGTCCCGGGACCACTGTTAAAAGTATTTTCTTCCTCCCACTTAGACATGTACAAATTGGCCAAACTGGGGGCGAATTTAGCCCCATTGCTAACCCTTTCTCTTGGAGGTAGTAATTTTATATCTACCTATAACTTCGAGAATTGTGTTCCCATATTACGATCATTGTACCCTCAGCAATGTTCCACACTGGATCCT